CACACAACAATAAAAGGTAAGCACCATGTGAAATGTTAACAGAACTGCTGTAAATAAGAGGAAGAGAGGCAATTGGATCCCAACCCAAATTTCTAAGGGCAAACAGCAAGAATTGCTTTTGAACAGATTCAATTGAACCTACGTAGCACCTATATGAAGGAGACCACACAACTGAGGCATACTCGGGTATGGGTCTAACCAAACACATGTATAGCCTTTTCGTAATGTAGAGATCATCAACTCTTTGGACTACCTTTTTATAAAACCAAGCGCGGACCTAGCTTTGCTAATCGAGAGCTCAATATGCAAGTTAAAACGTAACCTATGGTCAAATAGAACGCCTAAATCTGTGATCGAATCGACATCCTCCAACTTATGCGAATCTATGAAATACTGAGTAATGAATGACTTTCTTCTTGAGAATGAAAGCTTCTTACATTTACTCAGATTTAGTTTCAGCAGATTCAAAGAGCACCATGCAACAAAATTATCCAAATCACCTTGAAGCTGATGTAATTGCGATTCAAGAGAGAAGGAAGAAAACAGTTTCACATCATCAGCATACATTAAGATCTGGCTGGAATTAACCACCGATGGGAGATCGTTAATGTATAAACTAAATAAAATGGGACCTAAGTGACTTCCTTGAGGTACGCCAGACGTAACGGGGAATTCATCCGAGGTGATGAAGTTAAACAAAACCCTGAAGGATCTATTGTGCAGATAAGAGCTTATCCATTTCACTAAGTACGGTGGGAAACCAGAGGCTGGGAGTTTAAAGATAAGTAGTCTATGGTTAACCATATCAAATGCTTTGCTTAAATCAGTGTAAATAACATCTGTGCCACTAGAAAAAGCCTTGAAAACATGACAGGTAAACTCTAACAAGTTGGTGACTGTAGATCGCCCTTTCCGAAAGCTGTGTTGGTGCGGAGAAATATACGAATTAATGGCAAAGGCCAAATGCTGAGTCACAATACGCTCGAACAACTTAGGCAAAACACTCAATTTGGCTACACCTCTGTTATTCTCAACAAACTTTCTACTTCTACTTTTGTAGATAGGAATAAGGAAACTCAACAAAATTTCTACTTCCACTTTTGTGGAGAGGAATAAGGAAACTACTCTTCCAACACGAAGGGAAAACATCTAACTTCAAGGACAGTTTAAAAATCTTTGAGATCACACCACATAACTCGACCGCGCAAGATTTAAGTACACATGACGGAAGTCCAGCAGGTCCAGGCGCACAATTATATTTTAGAGGGCTCAACCCTTCAAAAACGTCAAGTTCCGAAATAACCAAGTTAGGAATTGAAACCGAGTTAGTTATAGGATATGGGTAGTTTGCTGATAAATCGAAATTAGCAATCGAAAAGTTTCGTCGGAAATACTCAGCAAACAAATTTGAGATTTCAAAATCATCCGAGGAATCAGAGCCATTAAAAGAAACATGAGAGGGATATGTGGAAATTTTTCTTTTAGAGTTGACAAATTTAAAGAAGAATTTAGGATTGGCAAACAGACAGGATTTAATGGACTGAAGGTATCTGCACTAATAATGATCGTTGAGGGAGTTAAATCTATGCCTCGCCACCGAGTAAGCGACATAGTCGAGCGCAGAGCCACTTTTCGAATATTTTTTGAATAGCTAGTTTTTTCTATTCTTGTGGTATTTAATTGTCTTATTAAACCACGGGGGACACCTGCTTCGAGGTCGACACTGCTTGATCGGAACAGATGCAGCAACAGCTAGATTTAATGTATTGTAAAAAGATGACAATAAGCTTTCAATACTACCGATTGAGAAATCAAGCGTCAAATGTGAAAGACGATGTTTAGCAACACAATATTGATTTTATGAAAATCATAATAATTATTTAAAAAAGTTTGATTTAGCACATTAAAGCATTTCAACAAACCATCATTCATATGATAAAAGGAAATGCATATTGATGGATGATAAGGATCCTCAGGTAAACTAAAAGATGGACAACGATTTACGTTAATCTCGGGAAAATTGGCAAAGCAGAGATCAAGCCGTCTACCATTACAATTAGGGGTACGATTATATTGACCCAAATTATGATCAAACAATTCACTAAAGAACACAACAGCCCTATCAGACGTTGAAGTAGGAACCAAACAGCCAGAATTATCAGTGTTACACCAAGTGACTTGAGGCAAATTGAAGTCACCCAATCCAACGACCAAATCGGTGGGTCTAGACCGCTTGGCCACTTCACAAATGAGGGCAGCGTGTATCTTGTAAGTGGAGATATCAGAATTTGGGTGAATATAGGAGCAGGTTATAAATAGATGTTTATCAGGCA